CAGGAAGTGAGGGATACATGGGAAGCTCTGAAACTTAATATTTACCATGATAAATTACTCAAAGTTTAAATTTAAAAATAAAATAAATAATAATAGTTTGGTGGTGTGATAGAGACAGTGTTTGCCAATGTTATCCTGACAGTTTTATACGCCATTAACGACAGAATACGATATATCTATTTGAACATTCTGTTTGTTGGTAAAGTCGGAATATAATTCACACAGTTCAATACCGCATTAGCCACAGAATACGATATATCTATTTGAACATCTTATTTGATGTTAGAAACAGAATACTTTTCTGACGGTTACATACTACATTAACATAAGAATTCTATGTATATTTGAACATTCTATTCCATGTTATTTGAAGTAAGTCGAAATCACACGCTCAGCGATTGGTTAGCGAATATCAACTGTAGATATATAAACAGAGGTTTGATTTATGAAAAATATATCCTAGCTTCCGTGTCTTGCCTTTCCCTGTGACAATAGTAGTGATAGTGATAATAATAATAATAACAATAATGGAAGTAATCAGAATAATCTTAATTATAATAGTAATATTAATGACGACATGCATGTCAAACATGCGCAAGATAATGACAACATCAACAACAAGGAATCTACATCAGCAGTAATTCCATGCAAGCAAGGAACCTCGGAAACCATACGCAGAATTTTTCACAAGGTAGGAATAAAAGTGGCATTTAAACCAACCACAAACTCAATTAGAAACAAGCTTTGTCGGTTAAAATAATAATAATAATAATTTTGATAGCATTATTAGAAGACGGAGATTATCTGAAAAATGTGATGTATTAGCGCTATACATTTCGAACAATCTGATCACACATTTACTTGTCAAGTCAATATATATGGAAAAGTTAAATTAAACAAGGTGACAAAAAAAAAAGAATTAAGAATAATTAACACAAACGTTTGGTAATCCAATCAAATAAGGATTACCAAGGTAGGTTAAGAGTAATAACAAACTGTTTTTGAATACACAAGGGAGGCTTAAGTTTATGAATGGCTATAGCCTCAGCGTATTTCAGTAAACCTCCTTGACCGTTTTTATAGATGACCTTAAAGGCTGAGTTGACATCAACCTTATGGTTCATCTCGATTAAATGTTTAGCTATAGACGAAGTTGGTAGTCTGGCACCTGCATCTATGGGCTTGTCACAATTCATCTGTTTTCCTAACCACTTTGGGATATGCTCTCCCGCCCTCACGTGCAACGCGCGATTACTCCTCCCTATGTATGTATGTCCACACACACACGAAAATTGGTAAATTGTATGGGATGTGATATAATCACTCGTGCACTTTTGAGGTTTCCAGTGAAGCATATTTTTAGCCTTTTCGACAATTACAAGCTGGGCTGCATAGTAGGTTCTACGGATGATGGAATTTAACCTTTGTCTCAAAATCCTACTATTTATTTCCCCATTATATGGTAATTTGATGAAAACCTTTTTCTTAGGGACAGTATGGATTGTAGGTTTAGAGGCTAGTTGACTTCTACACCTGTTTAAAAACTTCAAAGGATATCCGTTTTCAACAAGAGTATCCATCAATATTTCGTTTTCCTTGTCTATAACATCAGCCGTGCAAATACGCTGAATCCTCTTAAATAGACACTTCACCAAGCCTCTCTTATATTGTAATGGACAGAAGCTGTGAAAATTAAGATATTGCCCTGTCCAAGTGGGCTTTCTGTAGATAGAACGTCTTATTGAGCCATCGTCTCTTCGACTCAGAAGTATGTCTAAAAATGCGAGCTGGTTGCGACTTTCTTCCTCGCATGTAAGACTAATATGATTCTGTACAGAGTTGAGTCTGTCCAATAGACGACTCGCATCTTCTAATAATGCTATCAAAATTTATAAAAGGGACTAACTGTTTTAAATAATAATAATAATAATAATGGTAATATTAATAAGAATAATAATGATTTAAATTATTCCAAAAACAGTACTTGTGATACAGAATGGAATTTTCAGCATTAATCACAATAATGCATCTAATTTCCTCAAATTATAAATAAAATTAATCACAGAAAATTTTTTTACATTTACAATAGGGTTAATATTAAAAAAATAAAAAACATGCAGCATATAAAATGGAAATAATAATAATGATAACAGTTAAGGTAATAGTAATAATATAAGTGAAAATTGCGATGGGCTTGTTTCACATAGCACTGTCGATGCGGTATAGAAATCCTAGCATGTTTAAAAATATTGAATACAATGTTCTCTTTACATGATATGGTGAGGGGAAAACAAAGATTATAGCAGTCAAAGAGATAAGTTCGTGTTTGCAATTATGAAAGTAAAACAAAGAAGCAACAGGACCATAAATATAATAGAAATCATAAAAATAAAACTTGAAAGTATATAAGGACGGATGGAGGAAATTGTATATTTACTAGATGTAAAAAGGTTAGTTAATCCTTGCCTGACACTATTTTCATCACATAAAATACGTTCCAAGTATGGTATCATAGAATTTTTTATACTTAGACGTGCGAGCATACAGTTTTCTGAAGTTATATCTTTTTCTACCTGAGGAGATGCAAGGTGAAAGCTGAGGATAAAGTGTATGCTCTAAGTAAGACAACATCCTTTTAGCAAATTTGTTGCACGAAGTCCAGTGCCTACCGACAACGACGTTAACTACGTAGTCCACTGGGACACCACTCACCCTACTGACAGTCTTCAGCATTCTACGAATTGTGACATAGTCCTTTCTAAGCAAATCAGGAAAGAATAAGGGTGAACAATAGGGAAGAATAGGTAGGATGCAAGAGTTTATGAACTGTAAGAGGAGGGGTTGAGTTATACCTGAGTGCCTTAACTTCTTAATGTAAAATGTCAAGCGGAATATTTTACCGGAGATCGCTAAGGCATGGGAAGACCAGGAGAGATCAGAAGAGAGAATAAGTTCAAGATACTTAATTTCTGAATTAACTCCTATAGCATTGTCGTCAATCTTACAACTGTCATGAGAATCAACAGCTTTATTTAACTGTCGTTTACATCTTAAGCTGAAATTAACAGTTTGACATTTAGAAGGATTCAGTTTAAGACCGTTAGACTCAGACCATTTACTGACTCCCGACATAAAGCTATTTATTTTGGTACAATCTAGCTGAGAGTTAACAGCCATTGAAACTTAAATCATCAGCGTACTTCACAAAGTTTATTTCATCAGAGTGAGGCAAGTCATGTTAGAAGAAAGAAAAAAGAAAAGGCGAAAGAACAGCGCCTTGAGGGACACCAGCTTCAGTAGGCAATGAAGTGGAAGACTTCCCTTTAAACACGGTGTACTGCTTTCTTTCTGAGAAAAAGGAATGTAACCACTTAACAGCCCAACATTCTGCTTGACTTGAAGCAAGTTTATTTAATAAGATCCTATTTAATAAGGATCCTATGGAGCCTCCAAAACAAAACAATTTAGTTTATCTAACACCCTGCCTGCAATGATCGTCAGGTCAAATACATAGGTCAAAGTAGTAGAACAGGGGCAGTCAAACTAGCCGAGCATAAAAACCTAGCAAATTCTAGATTAGTTGACCCGAATAAGATAAGAAATCTAGAGAATAGTTCAGCTATAGCACTACATGCAATTACACAACCATACAATAGAATGGGATAAGATGACAGTTTTAAAATCCAATGTAACAGAATGGAGGGAGAGATTGATAACAGAAGCGCTGTTTATCGAATGAACTGCAAACACGTGTAATAGGAGTGATTCAACACCTGTCCAGTCGGACATTCTACTACCCCTACAACAAATAGGAAAGAACTCAAGTTTTGAAGTCGTGTGATTATAACTGATATGATTATGAACAATAAATTTTGTTCGAAACGTCATCTAGTGAATAATACTGATTTACTGTGTGATACATCTAATAAACAAACTAATATGAAATTACTTACTACCACAGTGCCCAAATTTTACACATATACTCACAATCTCCTATGACAAACATGTTTACTGTTCGTTGTCAATTATTATCAAAACTCCTATCATAGCAATATAACACCTAAAACTCAAGCAGTGTTATTCAAATGGTTCCATTCAGTTTCAACCAGTCATATCGAGAATTACGCCAAAATGTCATCAAACATGATGACGCGAATATAAATCTGGAATTGTTTGCTCACTCATGATTCTTAAGGAACTGACTTGCTATCTGGATATTATGCTGTGTCATGTGCTACTGATAGAATTTATCAGGAGTATGTGAAGAGACGTTCATCGATATAAAAACATCAAATTCCAGGGGGATTTCGTTTGACGTCAGAGAAAGCAAATGAATCAGTGTTGCGGGGAAATAAGAGAGACGTGAAAGGAACAGAAAGAAACACAATATGAAGGACCGAAATAGCACAACACGGGAGATCTGTGCAAATGGTGCGTTGAAGATAAGGTGTACTTAATTTCGCTACGTATAGCCATACCAAATTCCAAATAAACATAACTTTGCCAAGTCTCTCGTCTTCAACCGTTACAATGCGACTAACTAGAAAAGTGCAAGGAATGCGCAATACTGTTATGAGAAGACGGTAAAAATCCATAGTCTTCTGAACTCTTCACTGTTAGCTTGTGAAATGTACGATATTGACGTTGAGACTGATTTGTGAACGAACACAATGACGTGAACCCTTCTGTTTTATCACACATCCTCGACTAATTATGCCATTCTGATTGTTTTGTTAAAATGTAGGGATTTGAAATGATGCATTGCTAGAGATATCTCCACATGTTGGTTCACCCATCAAATTGTTCCTGAGGAGAATCCTATACGCCCAAGTGACTTACCCATTCAGACTCTTATATTCTAAGAAAAACATTAAGCTGAGGAATTAGGATACGGTTATCAAGATAGATTGAAATGGAATGTGAACCCGAAACCCACTGGTTAAAAGTTATGTGCTTAAACCAATATGTCGTACCTTCACATATCTGAAAGTTAAACACAATCTTGAATTGACGGTTTATTTTTCAAGTACAAAAAAATATGTTTACAGATCTCAGTATACAAAAATTGACGAGAGGATAACACGGAGTACAACGGGAACAGGTTACTCTTCGTAAATGCATTTATGAATAGTATAGTAAAGTAATTATAATAACCTATATGGATGTTTATAAGATATTTGTGTTTACACATCTAATCAGTTCGAACATCTAAAGCAACAGTAAGCATGAAAGAAGCACACACAAAATGAATATAGTGATAGTTATGAAGAAATGTGAAGCGCAAAGAGAATAGTAGAAAATGATAGTGAGGAGGACTAGTTATCTACCAAACGGAAAAAGTTTGGTCCACGGGATATATGAATGTCTGAATACGCAGCTTCTTGTGCCAATTCCACAGCACCTTGCTTACGAAGTAACAATACGGTGTAAAATTTCGACGCCGCCTAAAATGCATTTTTAAAAGATAAGAGTGAAGTGATATACTTTTTCAATACAGACACTTTTGTAAACAGACACGCAACCGGCATAAACTAGTGATTATATATAAGTAGTTGGAAATTATAGTTCTTATATCAACTCTTATTACATATTAAACTAATCTGATGAACTAAAAGCATCGCAAACATCCTCAAAAATTAACTTTATGATAAACAGCCTAAGTCTTGTTGACTTTGCTCTGCCACAAATGACTTATTAATCCACAATTTCAGTGATGAAACATGCAGACTAGGTTACTAAACATTTACAAAATGGAAAAACCACTCAGCATATCAAAGGATCAAAGGTGAGCATAGGGAAAAAATCACCATTCAATTACACCTTTCACACCAAAGAAGTTTTGGAATAAGTATTTCTGATTTGAATGTGTGGTAGATAGAGTTAAATAAGGGGAAATTAATAGCAAATCCCACATTAACATTACATAGAGCAAGACACCCACCTCATACGAAAAAACCTTTGAAGACTACCAATGTAATTTAACCTGGTTAGGGGAAATTAACTGGAACTGCAGATGATATTTCAGCTTAGTCTAACACAGAGCTAATGATTTCTAGGATTCGCTCCTAGAGTACATTTCAACGATAAAACAATTCTAACATCGCGTAATTTTTTACGTCATCATGCCAGCATGCCAATTGTCATAGTTGATCTTGTCTCTCGCATAACCAAACCAACAACCTGTTCATCTCCATTACAATGAGACTGTCGCTTATGTCTACTACACTGGGCTATTTATATTTCTCTTCATTACACCCTTCTTTACTTGTTGGCTACCTTCTGATTAGTTACTCACTTTTAACAGTACAACTAATTTCATGCATGCACTGATTCCCATCATTTGGTTACCTTATTTGCCAGTGGTCTTCCTTTTCCTTTATAGCACAATTTTTAGACTGCTTTGGTGATTGCCATGGTTTTTTCTGAACTCTTCCCGAAAACTGGATGATCACTCAGATAAACACCACGTTTTTATCTACTTGTAATTTAGTTATAGTACTATTTAAATATTAAACCCGAATACATAACTTTGGGATTCCGTGTATGTCACCGTATAAGGTCAGGTTACCATCACTTTTAATTCATCCCCTATACATCTTCACAATCTATAATTTCTGATCATTAACGAAGTCAGGTCAACCTTCAAAATTAAGAGATAGAACTCATTTCGCTGACGTTTAGTGTACGCACAATCTTAATCTAGTGAATTTTGATGTAAAGCAGTATCAATTTTCCATTTAATTAATTGTATACAACACGTATAGAATTCTAACATCAGCTTACCTGTTTCTTTGTATTACCAGTACATAAACCCTGTAAAGTTAGGGGTTCATCCCAACCATACTGTTGTTGGTGTGCACGTAACATACGCAATAACACTTTGGAGCGTTTCTCTAAACGTCGTTCCTCAACTGATTCCGATGGTAATCCTTCAACAGATAGTGCTTCTGAACCAGGGAAACCACCAGATAGTAAACCAGATGCATCATCGTCTTTGAATGCATTATTCAAGTCGTTTTCTGCTTCATCGTCTGCTGCTGCTAATTCACGTTCTAGGGCTAACATGTCAACCTATGGAAAATAAAACAGATTTATGAAGTTATTGGCATACATACACACATACGCAGAACTCTCAACAACCTAAATGAATCTGAAAATACTATGTGGTTTGAGGAAAATAATGTCAGTCAATCAATCATTTCATTAAGATAATACAAAAACTGCTTACTTGCATCACACTTGGCGGTGCTTCAGATAAAATGCTTGGTGGGGCAAGATAAGGTGTTTCAGGTTCAACCATAAAGGCTAAATCATCATGATTAGGTTCATCATCAAGATCATCCTGATTTTCTTCAATACCATGAGGTGCTAAAATGAGCAATGTATGAAAGTTCTTAAAATTGCTACATTAATAATATTAGTTATAATAATATGCATAATAGTGGAACAACAGTAGTATACGGATAAGCAATACTGAAATCCAACATACTTGCAGGTGTTCCCTTCCTTTTTTCTTCTGTAACGAGCTGAACAGCTTCGTCTTCAGGGATTTCTGAAATAGCACCCAATTTCTGAGGTACTTGAAATGTCTCCCTGGCTTCCAGCGACTCAGTGATGGGTACGTTGCTTGGTTGTTGCATATTTGGATCAAATGAAGTGCTTGGCTGCAACGCCTATGGATATGCATAGACAAGAAAATTATACATACGTGAACGAAGTTGCCCCTGTCAAAAACAAAACACGACTAAACGATGTAAGCCTGATATTAATTCCTGTAGGCATGACACATCAGCACCGTGTGGTATCAATTAGAAACGTGTGATACGGCTAAATAACGATGTATTTCATAGAACTGTACACCCTGATGCGTTGTAAGTGCAAACTCCGACTACAAATACGTTGGCAGTGAAGGCAGTTCACATTAGCCGACAACGTTCCCGCCCTTGACATACGATTAGGAAGGTCATCATTCATACTATAGTGTGCAAGTATGAGTATAATGCAGCAGAGCGTTCTGATACAACAAGAAGAAATCACAAGTTTGTGAAGCACAGTTTGAAAATGCAGGAAAGTAATATTAACTTAGTCAACGGTTACAAAGCACTTCATAAGGCAATAGATGAAATAAATATTACGAATCAAAAGCCTTCACCTTGTTGGAAATGTACATGGGATTTTCAAAGTTTTGTTCTTTCAAATGTTACCATCGCCATTCAAAACGCAAACTGATAGCATAAGTGTATTCTAAATGAGTTAAACCGAAATCCAATCCGACAGCAGTCCGGAGCAGAAGTTGACCACTACCAATAAGAACGTATGTCTTCATACCAGTAAGTGAGCAGTGAATTCGGATAGAACTTAAAACAATCTCAATGTTGCAGGTGCACTCACTTTCTATCATCTTCCACATTTATTAAATCCTCATTATTTGTCATGTAAATGCTCTTTATCACACTTTCGTCGATTACAGTGTTATTGGATTTCTTTCCTCTGTGTGCTTATATGAAGTAAGGCAACGTGAATTATTACACTGTAGTCTTACGCTGATAATTCGGTTAGGTTCGTAGAGGAAATGTATCTCCATTATGTATAAGCAAAACTAACTTTTAACATGCAGACTTTATGAATATATCGAAAAGTCACATAGTGTTCTGGTCACCCGATGTCCTGCTAATGCAATATGACGCTTCTTACGAAATCATTAATATCATAAGAAGGAATTCAGCAAAGTATGTATGACGACGAGTTTCAACAACATACCTAAACTTATTCCATTCATGAAACATACAGTATAGATAATGTTGACATTTAAACTACTGAAGGAAAGTCCGTAAGGCCTAAAAATATCATTTCCGACTAACGAATCAACGTAGAAAGCTTGACAGAAGTGTATCAATAGTTGTCACACGTTAAAAAGTATAAAACAGAACAGAAATGTTGTGATATTACCATACTTAAGCATATGTGACAGAGGGAACAATTTGATGAATATTAAGAATGTTCAGAATTTCAAAGATGATGACGGTATACTTTAAGTTAGAGTTAATTACGAGAAAATACAACCAATCCCATGTGAAAACTCTAAACGCATTCTTATTGATGACTTCACACACACACACACATTTGAGCATTACAACTATATATGCTGAGGTGAAAAATGATTACCTCAGTAGATATAAACAAAAACATTTATCGAAATATCAAGGACTAACCGTTACTTCAGGATTTAATGACACATTCGACTGATCAGGTAATGATTGACCGGAACTGAATGATATCCCAGAAAGTATGTTGGATGCTTGGAAAGTTTCACCTGCAGGATCATCAGGAACCGTGTACAGATTACGCGTAAATAACCGTTTAAGTGCATGACATGGGATAGCCCGACCAGGTAATCCAAACAATTTATCCACACTTCCTGTCTCTTTCCAATACATCAACTTTTTGGTCGGCGGTGCTAAGTCTAACTGAGTCATGATGTCAGCTGTATTTTCCATTTGTGATTTCATTACTTCACTTGGAATAGATTTCTGTTCATCAACAATGAGTCGACGTTTACGTTTTGTAGCTCTGAAAATAATACAGAAAGTGGCAACTAATCCTTTTATACATCAATTAAATACGCGGTTTGAAGAAATTTAAGCGCTGGGTAAACTAAGGTTATATATCTATCTTGGGAGAAGTTTTCGTATTAGACGAAACAGACTAGAAACGATAACAGAAAACCACGAAATAATTTACCTTCTTGGCTCAACACCTGTTGCACAAGTTGTATCGATAGGTGGCAATGCAAAAGCTTCCGATTCGTTGCCGATCAGTGTCGTACTCTCTGTCATCGTAGTTATTCCAAGACCGATTCTTGATGCAGTCGTCGTTTCAGTTGGCTGTGTAGATGGGGGGACATATAAGGCATTTTCTGTCGTTGTTATTTCTGATGCCGTTGTAGTAGGAAAGGCATCCACTGGTTTACTGACAACTGCCGTACCATCAGTTGAAATCAAATCATCATTTCCAGAAGTTGCTATCGGTGTATTACTTTCATGATTAAGATCGAATCGGGTTGTGACCATGTGTGACTCAATTTCAGAGGTCAAGTTTTCAAGCTGTTTTTGAGCTGATGGATCTTCAAAAATACCATCGGTGAACAAAGAATGGACAATGCGACCACCAAAGTTTTCATCATCATCGTCTGGCTCAGCTAGATTATACAATTAAAAAGATAATAAGGATTTTAACGCCATCTTAGACAGACTTACCGAAGATAACTGTCTTACTTACTTACACAAACTCGGTATGAAATAGGAACTAGACTGTTCAACACGAAAACGATACACGTAAACACAAAACATTTCAAATGACGAAAATGAACGATCTTACCAAGTAAATTCATAAGGCATTTTATTAATTTCTTCATAGCGTTCAGCTGATGAGATTGTTTTAAACTAATAGATTTTGATTGACTGACTGGAGTGTCTGAATGCTACAAAAATCGTCAAATGAACGTGATACTATGACGTATGCACGAATGAAGCATATTAACGGGATGAAATCGCTGACTTACCCAAACAGAATCTTTTTAATTCAAAAACTCAACCGAATGATAATCAGGACAATCAACGAATTACAACGCTTTTTTTTCTTTCGTCGCTTAATAAGGCAGTACTATAACGTACACACAGACAGTGAAACAACGCTACTCAAGAACGAAGAGAAGCAATCACTACCTACTAAAATAAAGATAACTTAATTATTAACAGCCTCAGTGGTACCTGGTGACATCTTCTTAGTCGACTGAGTCATATGCCCTGTTGAGTTCTTCACGAGTTAGTCATGCCCTAGAAGATGCATACCTAATGCCACTCTTATCTTCTAGTAAGATGTAATGGCATCTTTCCATTTAATTTATTCCGTCTTAAAGTTAATGAATAATGCATATTTTATAGTAAACCAATTGTTGAAAAATTCTCAAAATAAGTATGAAGCATAATACCCATTGAATCTACAACATATTGTGAACCAAAATTTTGTTGATACCATCACAGCAAAAAATCATGTGGACCAAGTCAGAGAAAACTCTAAACTGAAACAGATGGCTGAACAATATTGAATGTATGGTAAACCGACCATTTTTTTCAGAAGTGATCTCAACCTACTACAGGGTGGTTATTCAGTTAATAAATATGGTGAGTTGAAAAGTGTTTGTAGTCAATCTGTGGACTTATTAAAAAAGGAGAAGCTGAGCGCACCTAATTTAACCTGAACCTGCCTTTTAATGTTGTTCCGGCTACTCCAGCATGATTAACCGGCTAACAACGTGCACTTACATCAAGCATGGCCCATAGACTGGTGCATCCAAAAGTGCTGCATAAAAGTACGACAAAATTGATTCTAAGAGAAAATAAACCTATTGCTTCTTATTCTGAACTCAACTAAGCTGAAGTATCAAAGCAGAACCCTGTAAAAAAAGTGCATCAATTCAAGTTGCTACACTTCGGAAAAGCGTATATAAGAGTAAGGGATGGAAATATCACCAAAATAAACAAAAGCATGTGAATGAAGAAATAATTAGCTGGAAGTTAGTGAGGATTTACAGAATTTGGATGATTATTTTGTCAACCTTTATCGAAAACGATGCACAAGAAATTTTATTAAACTGCTGCAAAATAGAGATACACGTAGAATATAAACAAGAATAAATAATAATACCAACATTCAAAATAACTCACTGTTAGTGCTCTCACTTTGTGCATAGGCAATTCAGTACAGAACGTGGTACAGAAATGTCTAGCCTAATTTGTCATCTCAGGAAGTGAAGCAATACAGTAACACGAAATTAAACTAGGAACAGAAACAGAAGTTGTGAAACCAACTGAAATTTCAATTGTGGTAAGTACAATAACTCCACCGCAACTAATTTGGAACAAAATCATCTAGTCTTCAAAGCCTCCGACGATCTCAGAAAGCTAGATAACATTTCTTACACGATGCTGATATAACTGCAGTCTTCCGAACACCCTGGAAAATAATGTTGGCATGCGATTCGCATCTATCAAATGTTACATGAAGCTGCAAGTCTCGTCTACGTTTAGTTCAAGGATAAGGAGTGAAATGATTTTATATGCTGACAATCTCACTTATTTAGGGAAATACAGTCTTAATCAACTGATGGTCGAAGGAATCTTAGCATTAATACAAAAGGCTTCTTCGAAATTAGTCAAAATGGGTCATCTTTGGCGCAAACTATCAGCTATCTACTAAAGAACAAGTGTATTGCACAGAAGTTCGCTTCGTCCGATTTTATGACTAAGACATAGTTCTTGAGAACGGAAGATATAAACAGGTTTAGCTGCATTCTATATTTCCTGGTATATGGTGAGTAATGATGAGATCAGGCGTAGTGTTAGGTAAGGAAAGAAAGTTCAATCGACTTTGTGAAGTTGCATTAAATGAGATGGCTAGAATATGTTTAACGTATGCTGAGCCATCACCTTTTCCGTCTGAAAGTATTAGTTGTAGTATTAAGTTAGAAAAGAGTTATTATCAGTTATCTATTAGGGCTTCAACAGCTCATATCCTCTTCACCCAGTTTTCTGAAGTCCTCTTTAGCCGAAACCACGATTGCCTATAAGCTCTCACCTCAAACGATCTTGTCCATGTCACCCTCAGACGCCCATCTAGTTGTTCTCTAATTGGGTTAAGGGCTTGGCACGCAATACCACTCTACGGTCTATCCAGCGTGTACCCGATCCAGTACTCTTTCCTTCGGCACATTAGTGGCGCAATGCGTTCTTGGTTGCTTCATTTTCAAAGACCCTGTTGCTTACCTTTTTTGGTCATTTGATCTTCAGTATAGATGGACGGAAGATGCTGGTAGAAGTCTGAAGCCAGTTCAAAAAATTCCCCGTTTTCATTGCTTCTTCTGTCAGCTTATTGGCATTAGCCTGCAGATCTGGATGTTGTGACATAAAACCGTCCGCAAAGTCCGTGTTCTAGAGTGCTCTTGTAGACCCAAAGTATGCCTGTGTTCTCGCTCCCTACGGTCTCTCGCATGATCCAGTTCACATTAACAAGGGATATCATGGGTGATAGTAGACAGCCATTTTACCCGAGTCTCTAGTTCCCTTGTAAATCACCTGGCGTGTGACATCATCATCATATAGCTGTTGAATTAGGTTGGTTAGGTTTGGGACACCTCGTAGTGTTGAAGTAGTTTGCCAATTAAAATGTGGTCAACAATATCGAAGGTCTCCTCAAAGTAGGTGAAGCTGAGGTAGAGACTTGACTACCACTCTACGGTTTGTTCGACTATGATGCGTAGCTTTACATACTGATCTGCACATGACTTTTCTGAAAACAATCAGATATTCCAAAGTCGCTTAGAGTCAAATGGCTATATTAATCTAAATAAAATCAATCCGTGAACACCACTCAGTACAGCCTTTCCCTTACTCGATGTCATCTTAGTTTAATAGGGAATATGATTGGGGAGAAATAGACTTCCCTGCATATCATGATGTACTAATCACAGTTGTGTTCAGAGCATCCGATTTATTCTTTTCATACAGTAGTGAGAATGATGTCACGAAACGTTACGACATTTGAAACACATGTAAAGTAGAAATAACATCCGAATGACCATAAATCAAGGGTGCATAAGGTAACATTTGCTAAAGGAATGGATGTTCAAACATAGACATGGACTTAAGGTGTTGATAGACCAAAAGTCATCTCCTAAACCTAAATTGATATTAAATGGTTCACGCTGGTTGTCCGAAGCGATTTCACAACTGGACCCAGGTATTAACCGCATTCTACGACTAAGTGTGCACTTATTACGTACTAAGTTTACATGATTTAAGAAAGTTGAACATTGCTGTACAAGGTAAAATTGATTTATGAAGTACGTCCAAAACATCTGAAAAGACTTGAACAGAAGGTAGTGAGAAAGAACTCACCCAAGAAGTCATCATCAAATTCATTATCACCGATTCCGATATCATCATGATGAGCAGCAGAATCAATAGATTTAATTGGTTTTTCGCTATCTGATAGTCGGCCTCCTCCTCGTTTAACATCGATTAAAGTGGCATCCAGATCTTGATCGGGATTTAAAGTAAAGTCAGTATCATGATGCATTGACAAATGATCGCTGCCACGATATATACTATCCCCAAAAGTTTTGTCAGCATCTCGAATAATTTCACGACTCGACACTTCGTCGAATACAGAATCTCCAAAATCATCATCCTGTCTCCCCAGATTAATTTCACCGAAGTCTTCCCGCATAGTTATATCTTCAGGACGACTCTGATTAATAGCTATGGTGTTCATGTTGATTTCACTAGATGCATAAGAGTTTACATAAGGAGACTCACTTAAGATCGGCTATTGTAGCTTCAAAATCATGAAGATTTTCCGGCAGAGTGATAGCTGCTATGGCAGCTTCACGATTCGCTTCATCAGGTAAATCAACAACTCCAGGCCGAAATGCCATCTTGATTTTAACAAAAGCTTCATTGCAGTCCGCCAGTAAGTATTTAGCTTTACGAGAATAAATTCTCACTACACCCAATAACAAGTGTCCAGAAGTTCTCAGAGCCATTTTTAACTTAGGCTCTAAAATAGCTTCAACACTAGAACTAATATTGGTCTCAAAAACATGTGCTCTGGTGAGCTTTTTATCCCAATGAGCTGCTAACCATATACGTGCCAAAGGGCCTTTTTTACTGAGTACAAAATGTGCATAAAACATCGTCGAGCTAAAATAAAATAAAAGGAGAAACTTGTGAGCAACAATTTGAATGGGTTTTACCAAGCGTATGTATAGTTAATGTTAACGCAAATCATACCCACATGCATACAATCCATTCTACACACAACAATCTCTGCTTATTTGCCCTTTTCAAATTTGGATTTATCACCTGTCATTGTTTCTTGTTTATTTAAGGTTATTTGACGCGACAACTTACGATTTGACTGAGTTTGCGATTCAGTGAGGCAACATGATATCTATACACACAGCAGGTCTTATCTGAGGGAAGCATATGTTGTTAAGTCTGCTAAAGATAATAATGATAAACTGAAACCAAAAACATGATAGTTGAAGTTGCCCAGGCCTTTCCAAATACTATAAAACAGATATTAGAATAAAGACAGAAAAGAGGTCTTAGTAGTGCAATAAAATTATGCTGAAATGCAACTGCACTACAACAATATGCGTTTTAGTCAGCCGCACCATAAAACCCCATGAGTTCAGGAAACCTTATAACTCCAGAAAACTCCAAATAAATCTGCCTGTCTACTCGAGACAAAACAAATATGAGGCCCTTAGGTATTTTATCACATCTACATCAAAGTGAGTCTCCCAAGTTGTATGCTGTAGCTGTCTCTAGTGTCGATGTTTATTCGGTCGTATGCGACTGTGTATATATACACAGCCAACCGAATGAAAATCGCAGTAGCTGTTGCGACATTTGGTTTAAAAGGATAATAGAACGCCTCAGTTATACAGTGCCGAAATAAGCTAACACTACAAGTTGTCATTAGAAGTTTTCCCTCAGCGTTTTAGCGAAACATGTGATTCGAAATGGTTAATTTGCAATGCTAAATATGATCAGTGATCCTCTCTATTGTGCTCCATACTATTACTGAATAAATAGTCAAAATCCTCAGAAAACCGGCAGTTGCTAACATCGTAACAAGAACTTACAACCAGATATCGACAAAATTACAAACAACCACTACTTACCGCAAATTTAACAAAGGACGAGTTTGGTTGTATAAAACAAAATGCAAACTTGTATTTCAGATGTTCTATGGTTTCAATCTTTACTTACTTACTTCATATGAGTTTTCATATAATGGATGAAGAATTTTCATTGGCTTACGAGCTTCTGAAGATGTTAGTCTAGTCATTTCTGATACTTAAGAAAATTATGTTGGCTTCCTTTTGTAGTGAAACGGGAAAGTATTAAACCTCATTTATTAAAATGTTTTCCTCAAGGTATGACCATATATGACGTTGACAGTGACTTTCAGATCCAATCGTTAAGGATTTGTGTTCATGTATTAATTCCGTTTCCCATCCTTTTATGAGAGTTTGAACTATCTACTTAGGGAGAAACAAGAATGTGGGGCAAATTACGCATCATAGTATTTGTCCACATAAAAAAGAAGGTTCATATGGCAATAGTATTTCACTCAAAGGCAAGACAGTAAATGAGACTCATCTGTCGATTAAATTTGGACGTTAATGCTCCTAATATCACTTGCTATAATAAGTTCCGCTTGGATATTTGCTGTCCTACTGAAACCCTATTTACTAAATTTGACAGTGTCTTGTTCACACCGGAAATAATTCAAAATAAAAAAGCTTGTTCGTATAAGTCACATAATAATGCTGGTGTTAGAGGAATGGACTATCTAACGCAATCTGATATATGTAGGGTGAATGGAATATAAAGTTAAAATACTTCCAACGTCTGGAAAATACTTAATTAATCAACAAGCAAAAGACAAAACGTAAAATTGTTAATTTTAGTTTCAGGCCTGAACAAGACTTAAGTGGAATAATACAATAGCATGGATCTTGTATTATTGACACCGCAGTGGTAGGAAAAAAACCAAATATCACCTGTCTTGCCATTAGTTTCTATTCAGGTCTTCGTTGGTCATTTCATATTTTGTTAATTTTGAAGAAAACATAACCTTTAACTTCCTACATAGGGAAATTGAAACTTGCTTGCATAACTGGACTTCACCATTTATAGCTTATTAATTCATAAATTCTACTCATTTTTCCTCATTGTTCCTCTTATTCGTACACAAGCTTCCCAGGAAAGACTATTATATTACTTAGTAGTTTGGATTCTCTAAGCAACTTTAGTAATGCGAGTTAACTCGACTAACGGATGCTCCTTCTGAAAGGCATTTTAATTCTTGTAAGCACTAAGCCTAAGCCATCTGGTCTGATACTGAGTACCCTCTTAATTCATAACTTTCTTCTAATATCTCCTCAGGTGAAATCAGAAGTGATTTCACAAGAATGTAGGCTCATACAGCAAAATGTGAAAATTCACAGACAAAATATTTCTCGTGGGTCATGTGGCAAGAGACAAAAATCTCAAAAAAGCTTACTAATATCTTAATCGGTAAATAAACCTGCCAGTTATAGCCAGAATCGTTATCACATCTATTATTCTTCCCAACAGTATAAGTTTCTGTTGCCTTATCAGTTTCGCCATTTTGTTGAAATTTCATTTGCAAAAGGCAATAAATTGGTGCATAATGTACCATTCGGAAACTTCCATCCTGCATGAAAAATTTGTCTTTTGCATAAATTGATCATTATTGCAACAAATTATACTCATCAGAATTCCATTTAAACATATCTCATCATGAAATCGTAGGGTCAATTAACTTGTGCCTGTAAAACGCCAGTTCTGAATCTCCTCACAGCCCATTTGCTCCAATCCTAATTGATGCGTAATTCCTATTTTCCCAATAAGACAGGGGATAAAATCTGATTCGTGAGTTATACTGTAACAAAAACACTTGAACAGTCGGCTGCATAGACGCTTTCACAATGACGAATATACCGAAAAAAGATTCCAAGGAAAAGAGACATCAAAAACATGACACAATTTAGGCCGTCAAACAAAAAGCATAGTAAAGACACTCAGATACATCGGCCGTTAAAAAATTCAGACGGATCAAAGCAGAACAGGCTGAAAAAACAACGGTGACATGATTAGTAAAGAAGAAAACCTACAAGACCGGGAATATGAGTCATTAAACCAAGTGGAATCTACAGACAGTCCAGCGGGGTATACAGTGTGGTCAACCTCCGCTAACGAACGTTAACATGGCGTCAGCATAGTGAACGGGAGATTGATGAAGCAAAACATCGATTTAACATCTAGACGCATGTGGTGTAGAGCTGCAATTTCAATGGTCATAAGTAAGTATTACCGAATTCGTCACTCATACTGTTCGACCAGGCATGTCTGTTCACTGCGTGCATGAAATGTTGTCTAGATACACCTTCAGAGCACAAGCACATTAGGTAGTCTCAGAAAGTTATGTGCTTGTGCTGACGAGAAAGGATCGGGAAGGACTTCCTGACTGGTTTTGAATGAATGTGCTCTTGGCAGAAAAATTAGTTTGCCGGTACTGACCATTGGGAAGCGGCAGAGAGCGCCCAAACTATGAAGCAACCTGTAACAGGCAGGTATAGCAATTTCAATGGGGAGTATCAGCTGTAAACTAGGGTGATGGATGGCGTAGATGTAGTACGTATATTCGGTATATTCATGTTGGGGAGATTCAGAGCAAAGATTAGTCAGCTGACGACATAGACCCGAAGGCACGCGATGGAAAATCCTGGACACAGCTCACAAACATAGGCCAACCAAACTGACATTCTTAGAGAAGTCATTTCTACGGAGGGGCTGATGTAGGGCCTCTAAAACACTATGCTGTGGCCACTCAGATGTAACAGGTAATTGAAGAGTCCAGAATGATAGAACAAGCAACCCAGTAGGAGATATACCATTTTGATTTGTAAGGCACTCTTCATCTATTGAATGATGAATGTCCTTAAGTTTGTTTGAGTAGGTATTCACCACTTAACTTGCCGCCTGCCCTGCCTTTGAAAATAAAGGTTCATAAACACCATTAGCTTCCCACGATTTCTCGAGTCATCGGTCGGTAAATTGAACAGCTGTTTCCATAGAGAAGTCCGCTTCTAAAGAGGTACATCTTCTTTATGATTTGCAAGACTTTACGCGATGGATGATAAGTGCCCTTCCTTGTGTTTGGCTAGGTTTCCCGCTCCTCATAGCCATTGATGTGCTTTCGAAAACAAATGGCCGAAACCTAAGCTAGTTTGCTGAAACAATACAGGCTGTCGGCTGGTAGTTTTGGTGGTTATTTTTACAAGGGTCCAATGTTTGGTCGAGGGATGGCAATTTCAGCCGGGTAGGATTCAAAACATCCAATCTATCTATCATTACATTTCGAAGCGTTGGAGGTTATATCGTCTGACCAATATGCAAGAACCTATAATTTAACAGCCTATCATCGTCACATTAGAAGCATCATCATGAGGAATTTGTAAGCGACATCTTCTAAGTCTGTTTTGGAAAATTTGGTTGACACAAGTACGCTCTACTCAACCAACCTTCTCAACTCTTAACCGCATTCCGCAAATCGGCGCTTCGATAGTCACGATCGCCTCCTACCAAGAGCCGAAGTGACGCGTGTATTCATTAATGCACCTATGTTTTTATTGGTACACTCAAGCCTGGCTTTATCCCGGGGCTAAGTGCTAAAGTACTAAAGTTCTCTATAAGAATCCAGAAGTGGCCACTATTTCTTCTCGGTTTTCCTTCATTCATCTTCTGGTACGGCTACCAAAGTCGTTTCTGGAAATACGGGAAATTCTCTTTTACTAATTCGCCCAACTTCTGTGTTGCTGATAAGACAGAAGAAATCGCTCAGTAGTTAGCGTTGCACTGAGTCATGAACTAATACCTTTTTTATCTCTAAAATTTCACATCGGACATTTTAGCGCTCTGCGACGTTCTAAATTCCTTATGTTAAACTTCTGGCCAAATGATTTCGCTTCCCCATAATTCTTTCGAAATAACTCGTGACTGAGTATGCACAAGAGGTAAAGGTTCGCACTCATTATTGGGTTGGCCGAAGCTGAGGAAAACACATTACATATATTTTAATAATAAACGTCAGCAGATGCCATATATCTTTCCCATTATCAACGAGTATAATGGACAGTATGTAGTGGTAAATAAATTCTGAAAAATCTTTAAAGTACAGCATTTTTTATTCAGCTCTGGGTGCTGACGTCCACTGTTTGGGTCGGCTGGTCAGGCCGAAGGTACTCAGTCAAGTATCCTCGTCATTTACGAGCGTGTCCTGTTCGGTGAGGTTGTTCGTGCGCGACCTCCAGTAAGCTAAATGGACATCACTGCCGAAGTGTACTTCTTGTTTTGGATGATCAAATTGTCGTTCTACACTGGGTTACTTAGTGTCTTCTGATGTACGCCCAGTAATTACATCGGGGTTGATGTGTAAACTACGTTTTCTCTTGTGTCAGTATATCTTTCTTGGCCATTTTCTAAGGTGGCTGACTCATTATTATTTTTACAGATTTTGTCGTATTTGAACAATAAATTTTTCCTATGGTGGCCTTATAGTTTGGCATCAGTTGGTGGGTAAAACGTAGTTTCTCTCCATGTGGTGGCTTTATATTCTCGTTAATTAATTGTTAATTATTAGCTGGACACTCTAATAGTCTGTTGAAAATGATGATAAGAGCACTTTCCAGGCGGCAATCGGAATCATATTAGGCATATGAGATTCTGGTCGATTTACATGTATTGTGTAGCTAAATATTTACTTCAAAACTGAGGCATATTCTCTGGAAAGTTTCAATTTTTTCAGATATGAATTCAACTTCTAGGCATTGCAACAACTTTGACTTCTATTCTTTTTCGTGATATGATCATATGAAATTCCTCCGTGCAATCGTTGGTCTCAGTAACAAAAAATGAGTGACATTCCATTTTAAGATAGATTTCTTCCATCACTTTACCTGTTTGGGTGGTTGCAGCAGCGTCAATGGACTGACTGCTGACGAGATCTCAGTACAGATACGATAGGCTTTTGTGACACTTTCCAGCTTACGTTACCTCTGGCATGGCCGTGATATCCAGCTATCGACCAAGGAACGTGTATACT